AATGCAGGTACTTGAGGAATAAGCACCAGCCAAGGAGTGTGTTTCAGAACCTCAGTAGCAGCTAAACGTTTGACTGAAGGACCAGACATAAGTGCCTTTGTGCAGATCTATAATCTTGGATATTTTTTTCATCATTTTCTAAGAATATCTAACTAAAATGCTGTCTGAAAAATGCTGACTTGCGTAAAAACTGGGTTTCCCTTAAAATGTAAATTTTACAGTTAACTACCTCAGCTTAAACACTTGTACTCTTAAATAGGAGAGCAATGTTAAGTAAGATAAGCCTAGGAGGATTATCTAGCAGTTTACGCATCTTTCTTACCAAAAATGTTCCAGACAAAAGAAAAAAAAATGTGATCTATAATAGAAGCGAAACTTATGTAGTCTTCTGTAGTCTTAAGCTTATCCTCATAGCAGATGTCTTTTTCTTCCATCTTAGCAAATTTTCTTTCAAATTTATCCTCTAACTTGTTTATTTTTCCTTACCTATTCCACTTTGTACATTCTTCCTCCCACCCCACCCCCTCATTTATTTGTTTTCTTTGCTTGATGTTACTCTTGGTATTGAAAATGCCAGAATGAATAGAGATCACTTAAAGCCTTATGTAGTTCAGAACATTTTATTTATTTTATACTTTCATTCTTACTTGTTAAGTTTGTCTGATATGCTTTGTAAACTCTTTGGAACAGACTAATTCTAATCTCTCTGAAGTTCTCATGATGTTTTGGTTTAATTCAAATTAACTGCAGAGATCTTACTGCTTATTTAAAGTACAGTGAAATAAAAAATTATGCTCACTGTTACTATTTCACTTCTGTAAGGCATTATTTTGTTACTATATTGAATAGTAACGTCAACGTTTGCAACTGCAGACAGTCATTCAATTTTACTAGTGACAAATTGGTGCACATACGATAAAAATCAGGACTATTCTAGCATGATTGTAAAGGTGGATAAAAAAGTTGAATTTAATTCTTAACTACAGCTAGAATATTTAATTAGGATATTTTCCTTTTTTACTGGCATCAACTTGCAAAAAAACTAGTGCTGAAATAAATGAAAATTACAATAAAATATTGTGCAAGCGAAGTGTTTATATATACTTTTCTTTTGCAATATTTCCACTTGCTTGCACAGTGTTTCAACATTAGAATTGAACTACTTGATTTTTAATACATTTCAGTCAGTCAATAAATACAGTATATAAGCACATTAAAATGGAGGGGGTTTATAGACAGCATTTTCCTATTAAGAATTGTCAACAAAATCCTTGAAAATGAAATGGGCTGACAACTATAATCAGAGCAGATGCGTAAAGTACCGTTATAGCACATTGCACCATCAATTATGTGTCGAGCATGCTGCCAAATATTAAGTGCTCTGACCTTTGTTTTTAATAATAGAGGCAGACACTGGGGACATGTGAAAGACAAATAATGTAATGCATGGAAAAATCTATTATGGATTCGATTTTGTTAATGGAAGTAGAGTGTATTTGGTACCCTGCCCCTCCCCTCCCCTTGTGAGCTATAATTTTCTGAAAAACTGGACATAACACGTAGTGAAAAGCCACATTGTGAAAAATATACTTTGATAGAATAAAATATTACTAAGTTAAATAACTAATAGTGAGAGAGAGCTTGTCATCAAGTTTTACTACTTTCTTTATATGTGTGTTTATCATTTCTCCTGTTCCTCAGGAAATAACATGGAATAAGCGAAATGGATTAAGCTTGTCTTTACTGTATTCATCATTCATTCTTGTATTTTTAAGTTGTTATTTTGCTCAATATCATCTATCATCTTCTAGAGATTGGCTAGTCAAAGGTTTAGTCAATGTCTTTCTCCAGACCATAGCTTATAGTATTTTTAGGTAATCATGCAGGACAATATTGATTATATGTAAAAATGACAAAAACAGTAGAATGGCCAACCAAAGGACAGCAATAAACACTTATGAAAGGAGTGGGGGTGTTTAAAAAAAAAAAAAAAAGGCACAAAACCCAAGCCCGTAACTGACTTAAAACAGCAAAGAAAATAGAAAACGTGGAAAAGAGAAAACTCCTTTCTCTTCAGGCACTGATTTGCTGCTCCCTTCTCGATGTAGAACATAGATCCCAGAATGTCTTGCCAGTAAAATGTTAAGCAGTTGATCCAGGATTTAGCGTGGAGTGCACTGCAACTGATTTGTATGAAAATCAATAGATTGTTTGCGGTTATCAAAAGTTTACTTTGGTCCTAAAAGTTACAGAATTTCTCTTACCAAAACATTTGTTAATGTTATATTCCCTTCAGACAATAAAAAAATTGTTTAGAATATTTTTTTTAAATTTAAGATTACATTTGGGGATAACTAGCTTGGTGACAGTAATTGCATCTACGAACAGTATTTCTTTCCAAATTCCACTAAACTAGGCTTGTATAAAAATAATGAAAAATTACAACTCTTCTGATTAGTAGTTCATTTTTGTTAACGTTGCTTTCTTTGTGTCTTGAATTCTAAATAGCTGTTGAAGTCTGGATTTCCATTGCAAAACCATTTTGAGGTTTTAACTTTTTTTCAGTGTCCTACACTAAAAGCCAATGCATAGTTCAGAAAGAGCAAAGAATTTGGAATAAAAGGTGGGGAGCAAGACAGTTTGTTTTTGTGAAATTAACCAAAATTTGGACAAATAAAAAATGTTACTGGACAATTATTATGTTTACAGAAGCAGTTGCATTCCTCTCTTAAAAATTTAGAAACTTTTTGACAATCATTATTGATCTGATCCTTTTACTCTATGCAGGACAGTCTTCTAATCAACTAGAACTTAAGATTTAGTTTCATGTTCATGTCAACAGTAAGGTTAGATTTGTACAAAATCAAATCACTCCACAAGCTCCTTTCACTTATGTTCCTTTAAACAGTTTGAAACAGATGAGACTAATTTGCTGCAGTTCAGAAATTCATGCTTTTCAGAGACCTGCAGTGAATATACTAGGAAGAGATCATTGATCTATGTGTCAAGGTAATATTGGAAACATACTGAAAAATCAACATCTATGCGTGTTTGTTTTTTTTTTCTTCTGACTGGGCACTGCATGTGCTATATTTGGTGTACATGTATGGATTTCCTTCTCTGTTGCTGAATTGGAAGAGGGCAGAGAGCAAAAGCCCTCTAGTCATCCAAGCTGGTCTTCCACAGTGTATTTGTAAGTTTGAATTGAAGCCATTTTTATGAGCAAATGGCTTCATTAAACTAAGCACAAAATAATTCAGATGCAATAATGATGATTACTTTTTAAAAAAAGTAATTTTATATATCTGCTCCAGAAATTGTTTTCCTTTTGTTCATATTAAGTGAGCACTTCATGTCGTCGGCAGTATTCTCTGTCCTTCACGTGGCACTCTGGCCCATGGAATAGAATCATAGAATGGTTTGGGTTGGAAGGGACCTCAAAGATCATCTAGTTCCAACACCCCTGCCATGAGCAGGGAAACCCTCCACTACACCAGGTTGACCGAAGCCTCATCCAACCTGGCCTTGAACGCTTCCAGGGATGGAGTATCTACAACTTCTCTGGGCAACCTGTTCCAGTGCCTCACCATTCTCTGAGTGAAAAAATTCTTCCTTATCTCTAATCTAAATCTGCCCTCTTTCTGTTTAAATCCATTGCCCCTTGTCCTATCGCTACACACCCTTGTAAAAAGTCCCTCTCCAGCTTTCCTGTAGGCCCCCTTTAGGTACTGGAAAGCTGCTATAAGATCACCGCGGAGCCTTCTCTTCCCCAGGCTGAACAGCCCCAACTCTCTCAGCCTGTCTTCATAGCAGAGGTGCTCCAGCCCTCGGATCATCTTTGTGGCCCTCCTTTGGACCTGCTTCAGCAGCTCCATGTCCTTCTTTATGTTGGGGACTTCAGAGCTGAATGCAGTATTCCAGGTGGGGTCTCACGAGAGCAGAGTAGAGGGGCAGAATCACCTCCCTCGACTTGCTGGCCACACTTCTTTTGATGCAGCCCAGGATACGATTTGCTTTCTGGGCCGCCAGTGCACATTGCCGGCTCACGTTGAGCTGCTTATCCACCAGCACTCCCAAGTCCTTTTCCTCAGGGCTGCTCCCAATCCATTCTCCGCCCAGCCTGTACTTGTACTTGGGATTGCTCTCACCCACGTGCAGGACCTTGCACTTGGCCTTATTGAACTTCATGAGGTTCTCACAGGCCCACTTCTCCAGCCTGTCAAGGTCCCTCTGGATGGCATCCCTTCCCTCCAGCGTGTCCACAACACCACACAACTTGGTGTCACCTGCAAACTTGCTGAGGGTGCACTTGATCCCACTGTCCATGTCTCCAACAAAGATGTTAAATAGCACTGGTCCCAGTACTGACCCCTCAGGAACACCACTCGTCACTGGCCTCCACTCAAAGAGTTGTGGTCAACGGTTCAATGTTCGAGTGCGACCATCCAGCCAATTCCTTATCCACCGAGTGGTCCATCCATCAAAACCATGTCTTTCCAGTTTAGAGACAACATCCAAGAAGAAATGCATTTGAAAACAATACTTCATTAAATTAGATACAATACTTTATTAAAGCCATTCATTTCTTCATGTTTTGACTTTTATTCATACATATTTTATTTGTGTATACCAAATTTGCTGTCCAGCTGGGAAGATGTGACTTGATTTCCTGACGAGAGAGGATTTCATTAACAAAGATTATTTCTAACAAATATAACCTCTGTCCTGCTCGTTACACTGTCTTCAACTAAGTAATTTTGAGTTTCAGTACTTATTTTTCTGATGATCTAGGCATATACCTTGAATATCTGAAACATCAGTAGCCGGTTTTGACTACAGTGGGCTGCACATGCTTTTAAGGGATTCGTCAAAGGTTGGTGGATTCTCTTTCCACGTCACCCCCATGATCTGCTGGTACCTCCTAGGGTCAGCTACTAGATGATTAAACAGTTTCCATTCCTGTGCCTTTTACCTAAAGGACTGGCATCCAGCCTTGTGAGATGGATGTACGCTCCGCTTCCTTGCCGTGCCCTCACGTGCCACACATGTTCCCATCCGGCGGCAGGAAGGCATCTGTGCCACTGGCATTTTCCGCGCTGGTTCAGCCACCTGCTTCCCGTTACTCAAGGGGCACGTGCTGCTGTGGTCTCAGGAGACAGCCTGGCAGGAATGAGGCTACTCAAGCCCTGCTCTTACCATCTCTTGAGAGGGATGAGAGCAAGCAGATAGTGGCTGAATTAGGTGTTTATTCAGCTTGGATTTCTGTCTGTGACCCACGGATTGAGAACCAGGGTAGCATCCTGTGAGGAGAACAGGGTAGTGAGATGCTCTGTGTTGCCAATGAATTTGCAGGCAAAGGCTCAAGGTGCTGCTTGCTGGGTGGCTTGGGTCAGGGATGGCCTTCCCTGTGGAGGCAAGGAAAGAGATGAAGTCCTGAATGAGCGCGTTTCTGAGACCGATAGCTTGATTGTTAAAACCTCCCAGGACAAAGCAGTCTGATAATGTGGTTAGCAAGGCTTCGGTGAAAACTGTTGTGGTTTTTTGTTGTTTTTTTTTTTTCTTAATAACACCTTGATGTACCAAATGACTTTGAAATCTGCTGCATTAGCTTTGGCTTCCATAGTTGCAGAAATGAGTTCCTTCAATCAGCCTTACTAGAGTGTTTCTCCTGGATTTGGTACTCGATAAGGCAGTGGATGCGGCGGTGCTGGCTGGTTTGGATCCTTTTAGTCATTTGTGAGACAAGGAGCAGGTTTAGTTCAGGTCAACTGGTTCAGAACTGGTCATTTTACTTATATAGTATTCAAAAATCACTTAAATGAAAGAATTGGTTTTTTGTTAATAGTGGAGTTCGATAAAGAATCTTGAATCTCAGTTGCTGTAATTTCGTATTTCCGGTTTTAGACACACATTTTACACCGTTACAGCCTTGCTGTTCTTGGACCAGGGCAAAAGTTTTGTAGTAACCTGTACAGAGTCTGCAGCCAGTTGCCAGCCACTTTTTGCAGTGTACCTCGTGATATTTCGTGTCTCACACTGCCATCTAAGGGCCATGTAGGCTGAGAAGGTGGCTAAAGGTTCTTCAGGGCTTTTCTTTCTCCTTACCGTCCTTCCCTTTGGGAAGCCAGCAATTTATGGATGAGAGAGGGTGGGTAGGAGATAATAGCAGTCCTTTGATGCAATATGTTTTTTCATCTAAGAGGACAGAGGAATCTTCCAGATGAGTGAGAAATTAGAATGTAAATCTGAGTCGTAGTCTTTTAGGAAAATGCCATTGTATTGAGTTTTCATAAAAGCCAGCAAATAAGAAAGGGTGATTACAGGACTTGAGGCTACTCTTGAAACAACAAGTTAAGGAGTGGAGTGCTTGGAGTCCTGAAGCACTCCACTCCTGAAGAGCTGAAGCTCTTAGCAGTGAGGGAGTGTGCAGCTGAGATTCTTAAAGGTATCAGTGTCCTTGACTTCTACTGATGTAAGGATTATTCCTTTATAATACAATTTGCTTGTTAAGATTTTCCCTAAAAGGTACAAAATCACATGAATTATTTTCTTCTTTTTTTCTGATTTCGCTGGTTTTGCATTTCTGAGTGTTTTTGTTTTCCTGAACTTATGGGAAAAGGAGCAAAAATGTAGTTACTTTAAGGGTATGTCATCTTAAATAACATGAACGTGGTTTAAATATTTTGAGGCTTAAGCATTCAAAATTTTATCATGCAAACTTTTCTTCATAGGATAAAAATGAAATTTTTCTTTCTTTAATCTGCAGCCTATTTGTATAGGCTTAATTCTAGTGCTCCTTTCTGACACAGATGTTTTGAATGACAAGTATGATAAAGAATTAGTGGCACAAGCAGAACATTTCAGTATTTGTCAATATAGTACCGTTGGCATTGACTGACGAAAGTAGTTTTTGTAATGAGGACCCCTTTGAGCACAACTTTATTTTACAATGTATGAGTTGTTTTTTAGTCTAATTTCCAGCAAACCTTGTGTAATAGATAAAGTAATTGATCTTGCATGTTACTTTGACAGGCTCATGCAAGCAAAGACCTGGAAGAGCAGTTGCGGTCTGTGTCGAGCGTGGATGAACTCATGACAGTACTTTATCCAGAATACTGGAAAATGTTCAAATGTCAATTGAGGAAAGGAGGTTGGCAACACAACAGGGAACACTCCAGCTTTGACACAAGATCAGATGATTCACTGAAATTTGCTGCGGCACACTATAACGCAGAGATCCTGAAAAGTAAGTACAGGACACAAAACACATTCTAACACACAATAAATTAAAATCCAAAGGCTTGTCAGTTGTGTCAAAAATATTTTAAAGGCTAAGTGTCATCGCTAAACTACCCTCAGCACTTTGATCTGATGTAATGGCTATAATATAAAATCTTTGACAGTCATCCTTCCATAATGAAATAAATTGCTCCACAGACGTATTTTTGGTACATCAATTGTCAGAAAGGTATAGACTGCTTTCACAGCTCAGTAGGTATAGGAAGTTAAGTTTTTGTATTCAGGTATAAGGAATCCTTCTTTGTAGAGGCTGTAACAATTCTGCAGAAAGCAAAGAGAGCACTAATAGTTGGATTCATTGAACTGTTTCTGCTCATTTTCTGCAATTACGTGACAGCTGGTAGTGTTTTCTTCTCTTACGTGTTACTGCTTTAGGAGACCAAATAATTCACTTGTAGCTGTTTCCTGTTACAAGAGGGAAGTTGTCATGATGTTATGCTCAAACCACAAAAACACAGCTTTCAAACAAATATGTCAATACCCCTTAGTGTTTCAGATGGCCTGGATAAAAATATACGTAGCTTACAGTTTAAGCAAGTGCTTGCTCACAGAGAAACACAGGATTTATAGCAGGAGACATATTTTTTGACATGATATTGGGAATTATGTACCTTAATGGAGACTTTAAGGTAGTCACTGGGTGAAATTTTCATTTTTCCTGAAGAGCCTAACAAACACTGGCTCCAAGAGAGAATAAAGGAGCCTATACTGCTACAGGTCTCATGGCTGTTTAGTGTAAGGTTGTATTTGGCAAAAAGCTGTATAACACGATGTAAAACGTTTGCCCAAAGTTGTGTGGATAATCTAGGCACAAATATCACCCTTCAGATTAAATCATATGGTATATATAATTGCTAAATAATAACCATTTGCTTTAAATTATACTCTTGTAGTTAACAAAGTAAACGTGTTCAAATGAATTTCACATGAAGTGTGTAGGCATCAAATTTAATGTTTTTAATATATAATATCTAAGTGGACTACTGTGTGGGACCAGTTAATTTGCGGAGATGTGCAGTACTTCTTTAGACTTCACTCGAGGTGAGACTCACCTCAGGCGTAAAAGAAAGGACGCGTACAGCTTTAGCTGTGACTGCCTTAAGATCTGCCCAGCCTTGTTAGGCTCACTCTCAGCTCTGCTGTGACTTTTCTTCTGCTCCGTGATAACATGTCACATCCCCATGAAGAAGAAAAATTAGCTAGAAGTCAACACAGAGAGATGTGTATGTCACTGAATAAAGGGTGTGACTCTAGCCATGCATATTCTGGTTCTAAACTTTAAAAAAAAAAAATCCTACTAATTTACTGCAGGAGAGTGTTGTTTTTAAACAGTTATTTTATAACACATGAAATTCCCTATAACTTGGCAGGTATTGATACTGAATGGAGAAAAACTCAGTGCATGCCACGTGAAGTGTGTGTGGATGTGGGAAAAGAGTTTGGAGCAACTACAAACACCTTCTTTAAACCTCCATGTGTATCCATCTACAGATGTGGAGGTTGCTGCAATAGTGAAGGACTCCAGTGTATGAATATCAGCACAAATTACATCAGCAAGACAGTAAGTTCTCACTCTTATTACAGTCCAAGTACTCCTTGCAAATCCATTTATGATCATGCATGTTTTAAACCTTCTTATAACTATTATGAAGAAGGAAAAAAATAATTTCTAGAATACATAGGAAAAACAGCTGAAGAGACTACTGCCTGGAAGAAAATGTTTAACACTCTTTTCCCTCAAATATATATATATTTTTTTTAAGAGAAAAAAATAAATAAATTATGATGTCCGATTCTCAGTTTTGAGATTATCCATGAAACTTAATTCTATCCTTTTTTTTTTTTTTTTTCCACATCTACCATTTGCCTGCTGTATGAGGCAAGCACTGTGGCAAACTAGCTTATAATTTTATTTGGGAAGACTGTTTTAGTACATGTGCAGACAAGATACATGTTGCAAATAAAGCCTTTTAGGAACTGAACTTTACTGTATTAAGAGGTATTAGTATAATGTACCTGTTTGTTTTGTTTTAATGCATCTTCCTCAGGTGTGTTTGTGGGTTTTATTCTTGAAGTTCAGGGCTAGTGATCAGGTAGGAGCGTACAGAGATTATGCATTGAGCCTGTGAGCTGCCTTTAAAGCAAAAGCATGCATACATTATTCTATTTTAAGTAACAGTAATAATTATCACATTATATTACAACAACATTTCCCTTAAAAATAATGCAAAAATAGTTATGCTTCAAAATGTTTGCTAGGGTATTTTGCTTTCATTACAGTATTTGGTAGGTTTTTTGTTGGTTGTGGACTTTTTCACTTTTTACCCCATCTTTCTGATACTTTGAAGAAAACTGATTTTACTGTAAATCTTGCTTCCGTTTTCAACTAGATTCATCTAGTTGAAGATGCAGTACATACTTGTACACAACTGCAAAGCTAACTATAAAATCGTAGCCTGTGGAAGTGTCGTTCCTTTATCATGAAACTTCTTAGTACTCTGAGTGTTCTTGAGAGGGGATTAGGAAAAGGAGACATAAAGAAAACAACCTTATTTAAAAAAAAATACCTTTTCTGTCCTCATTTCTCACCAGATCTGTCTGTCTGAAATGGTATATTCCACCAAGAATTTTTATTCCTAAGGGTGAGTTAGTGGTAGACATCCACAAAGCACAGGAATAATGTAACTCAAATAGCTTAGATGAGGAAAACTACACCACTCGTTTTGTTCAAGCCCATCATTATTCCCACAAACAGCTGTCCTAATTCCAGTTGCTTGAAAGATGCAAATACAATTTTGTCGTGGGTTAGGCTGCTCCAGCAACTGGACCCACACACACACAGCCGGTCACTCACCCTCCCCCACCCCCAGGAATGAGGGAGAGAATTAAAGGAGAAATGGGAAACTCGTGGGTTGAGATAAGAACAATTTAATACAGATGAGTAATACACAGGGTAGATGCTCACCACCCCCTCTTATCCGCAGCCTGTCTTGTCCCGAAGCTGCAATCCCAGACGAACGCGAGGCCCCGAAATAGAGAGGGGCAGAGAGTGAGAGAGAGAGTACTCCGAGAGTGGGAGTACTGGGAGAAAGAGGAAAAAAAACCAAACAATAGAGCAAGAGCGCAGCAAGCGCAAAAGAGCAGAAGCAGCAAAAGAGCCAAAGCGCAAAAGCCCTTCTGTCCGGCTGACCCTCACCTTTATACTGGGCGTGACGCTGCATGATATGGAATATTAATTGGTCAGTTTGGCCCTCAGTCTTAAGTTCCACCACAAATCACAAGGGGAATCGTGTCCCCCTTGTCCCAGCTATGCTCCCCCCTTATCCCGCCATGTTTCTGCACTCCGGCACACTGAAAAGTCCTTGGAGTCTCAAACATGAACTTGCTATCAGCATTCTTCTCAGAGCGAGCCTCTGAGTAAAACCAAAACACGGAGCTCTTCTAGCTGCTAAAAAGAAGAGCTAACCCTGTCCCAGCTAAAACCAGGACAAATTTTCATGTTATAAACCAAGAAATAGGACTTTTTCAAATGTATTCATAAAGTTTAGCTTACTTGCATAAAAGATGATCTAGTTACAGAGAGGGTTGTTGCATTTAGCACAGATGTTCTAGTCTTTTAGCACCATGTCAGTTTGGGGTAAATAATCCCTTTCTATTCATCTTTCTTACTATTGAGTAAAGTAATTGTTTTTTGCCTAACAGGAAATGTTTAGACTAGTACTGAGTTTCTTTTTTGAGTTCTTGATGTCATTGGTGATGATATGATATAGGAGTATTTAAAGATTGAGAGACACTGAAATGGAAAATGTTAAAGGACTTGTCAGAAAGAAGAAAGAGGCAATAGCATTGTTTTGTTTTCTTACCTATTCTGTAAAAGCAAGCAATTTAATCTCTGAGTTTTCTATCTTGCTTCTGCTTTCCAGTTTTATCTGGTCCTTGACAGAATGCAGTTTTAAAAAAACCCTTAAAAAGAAGAGAGCTATAGCTATATCTCTTCATCTGTCATCATCTCAAATCTTTTTAAAGTTATGTGACCACAGCTTACCCTATATCAGATGAGAATTAGGAAGAAAAAAGTATTGGATTCAAGACCCTTCTGTGGAATTCAGGTACCCTACACACCTATTTTCACTACTGTTTTCCTTTTATTTCCTGAATGAAATGAGAACAAATGGTTAGTAACCAGACATCTTTTGTTTTTTCGTAAGTCACCATTTTTGTAGCTTTATTTTTGGTGCATAAACTCCAAAAGATAAGCTTCATACTGTTCACCCTGCAGAAAAAATGCTTAATGAAAAATTAACTTTTCAGCTGGAGGTCTTGGTGTGAGGGCAAGCTCTAGTATTGGTTCCAGACATTAAAATCTAAAGAAAGTTGATATCAGCTTTCATCAAAATTAATTAAGAAGAAAAGAGCTAAGCATAGAAATTATTTTTATGGGGAGCAAATCGTTGATTGCCAGGAGAATGGACTAGGTCAGATGTTCCCAGATTGGCTTGTGGAACACAGTGGTGGTCCACAGAGAGGTCAATAGTTCTTCAGTTCAGGCTATGCTCCTCCTTTCTAGCTATTTAACTTTACTAAGGGAAAAACAAAAAAGTATTCTACTTTGCTTTTAATAAATTTTTTTCTTCAAAAACTGTTTCTGTAGTTGCTAAGGGGTGTTTATACAATCATGATTGGGATATGAGACAATTTCTTAATTAAGATGTGGTACAAGGTCTATTAAAACATTTGAGGAACGCCTTATCTAATTTGTAAAATGCAGTAGATGTTTTTCTTCTTCTTCATCCGTGACACTGCAATAGATCAACTTTGTAAGTGGTGGCTTGTAATAAAGGTCTATGGGGAAGGTGGTTGATCACTTTTTGGTTTTGTGTTGTGGTTCTGCTGTTTTTTTCTCTAATGTGTTATTAATCAAATAGCTGTTCTTGTCTTTCCATGGGACAAGTAATTCAACAGCAGTTACAAAAATTGGAACTGCCTGGTGCAGCAACAGCCTGTCCCTCAGCTGTACCTTTTTTATGCCCCACCTATGGGTACTTGCTTCTAGGTTGAAAGGAAGCAGTGAGCAGATGTCAAAGAGCCATCTCATTCCATTCTTCCTCTTGGCTGGCATGATTGCATCTCCCTTATGAGGAAAGGCTGAGGGAGCTGGGTCTCTTTAGCTTGGAGAAGAGGAGACTGAGGGGGGACCTCATTAATGTTTATATATATGTAAAGGGTGACTGTCATGAGGATGGAGCCAGGCTCTTCTCACTGGATTCCAATTGATAGGACAAGGAGAAATGGATGTAAGCAGGAACATAGGAGGTTCCACTTAAACATGAGGAAGAGCTTCTTCGCAGTAAGAGTAACAGAACACTGGAACAGGCTGCCCAGAGAGGTTGTGGAGTCTCCTTCTCTGGAGATGTTCAAAACCCGCCTGGACGTGTTCTTGTGTGATCTGATCTAGATGGTCCTGCTCCGGCAGGGGGATTGGACTAGATGATCCTTTGAGGTCCCTTCCAATCCCTAACTTTCTGTGAATCTGTGATTCTGTGATGGATGGTTTTTTGGCTTCTTTCAGATCATTTGATGTAAAGGTCCTAAATCTTTTTGTTTCATGGTTACAGTAATAGTCCCTCAAGGGAGAACATCTTTCTAAGCAGTTTGAAATTAGATTTAGAGAAGCTTTTCTCACAGGAAACAAGCTAACAGCTTGAAATTGTTTGCCATATTTGAGATGTACATGGTGTTCCTTTACACAATTTGGAGATGCATATGTCACAAGAATTTTCAGTCATTTTGAACTTTACCATTTACGCTTTTTCCCATGCATTTTTCTGTGTTAGACTGATGATTGTAATGATTTGTAGGTACTATTAATAGTGGGAGATATATCACTATAAATTCCAAATGTTTTTTTTTTGTTAAAATTTCTGGGGAAAAACATTACTAAATATAAAAAGATAGAATAAGGAACCCAAGCATATTAAACAGATAGGAAATGTATTGTATCAGATAAGTTACCAGTTGTTGTATCACACATAAGCCTTGAAAATACTGTTTTTTAAAAAAAGTTAGATAGTAAAATAAATAATGATGATGTACCATTTTTCAAATACCTTATTTTCATTCTTTCCAGCATAGAGATGTTTAGAGTTTTGAAATCAAAGAGTCTTATATCCTGAGCTTGAAAATCTCTCTAGGCACTTTGTGCTCTGTAACACTGGTTATATTTGGCCAGCCTTACTGAAACTTTAAGAAGTGCAAAGATCACAAGTGACGGAAACTGAGTCAGTCAATTTAAGGGAAACTTTCCAAAATGAACCACAGTCCATCAGAAGAACATAGAATCATAGAATCGTTAGGGCT